GCCCTCTGTTGCCATAAATTTTACCCTCTATAACACTTGTGAGAGATCTTCCATAATCAATTTATATTCAGAATGTGCAGAAGCATTCTAAGACTGATTGTTATTTAGAAACAGGGCCCATGTACTACCGGTATGTTCTTATCAGGCTCATTCTTCATGCCTGACATCCTTTTCAAGTCTGACGCACAAAACATATTTACATGTACCTCTGAGAATAGTCCACAAAGTTGCCTCCTACACCTGCGTAGCAGGAGGAAAACTATAAAACGTATCTTTTCATGAAATGTGAGTGTGCCAAAGGCAAGGGTCTGAGATGACAACAGTCAGATTTGGCTTCATAACACTGTTCATTTGGATGGTGTCCTCTGACACATGGCTCAGCTTGGACCTGTGCACTGAGCTCAGTCAAAATGGGCATGATGAAGAGACAAACAGCTTCAGCTCAAGTGGTTCAGGCAAAAACGCTGTTATTCATGCCAAAACAAAATTGCCACTGACATGTGAAAGGTGAGTAAATTCTTGGTAAATCACAATGTGCTCTGTTTTCTACATTTACTTCCCTTGAATCTTGCTCCTTAACTTGCTTTTTTGTCAGGGATGTACCCCAGTGCGGTTTCCCACAGATATCAGCAATCAGCTTGTAATTTAATGGTCTCTTCAGTGGGAAACTAGCCTGAATTACGGGGGCCTAAACATTACATTGAGACAATTACATGCTCTCTAGAGGAGCTTATTTGAGTCAGTTAGAATGAAGTAATTTTACTGTAACTCTAGACAAAGTAACAGTCTGCCAAGTAGGTTTATTATCCTTTTCACATTGCACTTTCAGATCTGAAGATGTTGTTTAACCAGTGTGAGTTTTTTTTCCTGTTAATTATAATTTGCTACATAATGTATAGTGATATTTGGGTCATTTCATGTTACTTGCTTAGATCTCCTGAAATGAGTATTACCTTAAAGAGGATTTTCGCATAGGACAGGATCACAAAAGACTGTACACTATTTCCTGGTGTGACTTTGAACTGCATGTTTTTTAATGACTCTGTGAACTTGTTACAAATATTAAAGAAGACTGTAACTGGAGAGAGGCATAAAAGTCATGTCTACAAATGTAAAATTCTGCCGTTTTTGATAAATTTCCTGTCTAGCACTGGCTGTGTTCTGCGACCTGTAAAGGTGAGCACCATATCTAAATCTTACAAGGAATCTTGTTTATTATATTATATGAGAAATGAAATCAGAAATGAATGTAGAACAGAGCTCCAACAGCTGCTTATTTTCTGCTCATGCCCATTTACTATAGAATATACTAATGATCTTATGTGTCTGTAATTTTCCTTCATACAGATAAAGACTGATAATCACAGCACATGTGTGAATTACAGAAGTATCTGTCCTTCATCAGTTCTCCTGAAATGTGCATCCCATTTCTCCCAAATCCTTACATTTGTTCTAATGGACCACTGGAAAACAGTGGGCTGCGTCTGTCAGACATGCAACTATGAGGTTAAATTTGTAGAATGTTTGTTGTGCAGAGAACGTGGACCTGCATTCCCAGGATTCTCCATCCTATCTGAGAGCCAAGTAAGCCTGATATTCTCAGAAGATTCAAAAAAGGCCAATGTCAAGATGTATTGTGTGCAGGACTGCATGTGCAACAGTATTTCTGTGCAATAGATTAATTCTGCCTCAGTCTCTCAAGTGTAGCATTTCACTGCAGTGTTCATCCCTGCAGAGTAATACATACAAACATGTAAAACCATGGCAAGTGCAGTATGCATTAGTTGTAGTTATGCTTAAAAGCAGGTAATACTATACATTTCACATTTTATATCCATAGTGGGATGTTGTAAGGACAAACATCACATCCACTCATAGACATACACCCTGCTGTCTGTGTTTATGCTTGATATGCACAGAAGTATTTTGAGCTTTGTGTCAGGTTTGCCCGGCTGCGCCTGTGTATTTTGAGCTTTGTCCAATAGAAGAGTTTAACAAATTTAAATAATTTAAACAGTTTACTATATACCATCATATTACTCACATGTATTTTCATGAATCTGTCATGTGGGTAGTAACAAATTTTTATATCTTGTCATCAGATGCCATCAAAGCTCTGCACAACATATTGCCAAAAGAAAGCATTTTCAACACAAGAAGGTACTATTACAAGAAAATGTTTCTATTTCATTAAATGCTGACATAAGAATTTAAAATGTTTTTTGTTTCTTTGTCTTCTTAGATTACATCATATGTACTGGATTCACAGACAAGGTGGACATTCATTGGCCTACAGTCACCAGCACATGGCTTGGAAGAGTTTTTTTGTTGGCTGTATTACTGCTTGGAATCTACATGACACAAATAATTCTATCATCAACCAGGGTCAGTCTTGCTCACAGTAGTAATGCCACAATGGTGACACATTTTACCATGACACTGCACTGTTTTTCACCATCATTTAGCATCGATCACATCCATCAACCGTCTCAGTGGTCCTACATGGCTATTGGGACCTCTTTTGTCATATACCTCTCTTGTGCTCTGAGAAGAACTGTACATGTGTTTCTTGCCTGCAGGGCTGCTTATGCTGTCCTGACATTGTTCTGTCCTACACAGTGGAAATTTAAGGCTCTGCCTGTAACTGTGTTGTTTCTTTGGTTGATCTTGAGCCCTCTTTTTACAAATAGGAATACGAAACACTGGTCGGAAGATGTACTTGTTGAAAGTACTGTGCAATCTACACTAAAATCCTGGACTCTTTTAGCCCAGATAGAACTACTGGCTACTTTGTACTGTATGTTTGTCTCACTTCCCAGTTTGCTACAATCAATCATCACTAAACTAAATTTTGTGTGTGTTTTCTTGCATGTGCAGCTAGTAACTTGTCTACAGAATTCAAGGGTACCTACAAAATATGTACTGGTTATTAAGATAAACAAGTTAAATTAAATGTACTTTTCAAGCATCCCTCTGTATCATTAAAGCTGGCATATTTTGTGCAAATTTGAATATGAACCTCTCTTTTTCCTTTTGATATTATGAAAAATAAAATGTACATTATTCATGAGCACCTACTCTGATTGGCTGGAGGTGAATAGGACCTAATGAATAATGCATGTACTCCTATGGTTGAGCTTTACCTCATGTAATGGCGCGTTCAGCTGCAAAAGTGAGATGGTATATAAAGATATATGTACCACAGTCTGATCCTGAATGGTAATGAAAAGAACCTGGGGCCTATTTCAAGAAGGCGGAGTCTGATCCTGAATGGTAACGAGAGGAACCTGCTGTTACAATCTAGACTTCAACTGGATATTTCAGAATGGTAGACAGTCATTTTTTCAAATGTAGCCGAGTCAGTTTATTTTTAAAGAACATTTAAACAACAGCAGTTGACCAAAGTGCTCTACATCATAAGGTACAATGAATACAACATCATGAAATAAACCAAGACTCTAATAAAATAATCATAAGAGGTAAACAAGGGTCAGTAGGTTATTGGGCTGAGTCAAAATGCTTGCACATACAGGTGGGTCTCAAGTGAGAACTTAAATGCAGCAAGCGAGGGGACTAGTCTAATCTGTAGGGGCAGTTCATTCCACAGTCTGGAGCCTATAATAAAGAAGGCACGATCACCTCTACATTTTTTCCTCAAAGCCGGCACAACCAAGAGTGTGTGATCAATAGATCTAAGGGCCCTAGTGGGGCAGTAAGGTTTAAGGAGCTCTGAGAGATAGTGAGGAACTAGACTATTCAGGGCCTTAAAGACTATCAAAAGAGTTTTAAATCATTCCCTGTAGGACACAGGTAACCAATGATGGGAAGCCACAATGGGGGTGATGTGTTCATTTCTACAGATACAAGTGAGGAACCTGGTAACTGCATTTTGGAAGAACTGGAGGCCGTTTAGCTAGGAGTGGGAGGCACCAATATAAAGAGAATTATAATAGTCGAGGTGACTGGAAATAAAGGCATGGATAAGCCCTTCGAGGATATTCCTGGGGAGAAAGATTTAACTTTAGACAAGAGGCTCAACTGAAAAAAACATGAGCTAACCAGACAGTTTATTGGTTTGTCCAATTTGAAATTGCTATCTATTATAACCCCCACATTTTTTTAACTGTCAGTCTATCAAAGGGTGCAGAGAGGTCTAAATATTTTTTTTTTAACTGTCAGCCTATCAAAGGGTGCAGAGAGGTCTAAATTCAAAGCAGGGGTTATGTTGGTGGCATTCAGACTAAAGATTAACAGCTTGGTTTTACTTTAGTCTAAGCTTAAAAAATTATCAACCTAACATGAGAATGTACAACAAAAATTAATTCATGCCAAGAATGGAGCCTTGAGGGACAGCATAGGACTGGGGAGAGGAAGAGGAGTCAGAATCACTAATGCTAACAAAGAAGCTTTTATCTGTTAGGTAAGAGCTGAACCATTTCAAGGCAGTACCTGAAATACCAATCAAATGCTCAAGACAGGATATAAGAATCTTATGAAGCTAGATTGAAGTAGCTCAAAGATGCATTGCCTGTCAATAATAACAGATTGGAGTTGTGCTAGCACCACCTTTTCAAGGACGTTACACAGGAACATAAGTTTAGAGATAGATCCAGGTTTGGTTTCTTAATACATGGCTGGACAGCAAGGGAACAGCCACAGAGGTAATAATACTATTTAAGAGTATGAAAATAGAAGGGCCAACTAGTTTAGCTTTAGCACAGCTTTTATCATTTAGCTGAGTAACGCCTTATAGTTTCTCAGCATAGCACTGCAAAGGGAGTGGTCTTATCCTCATGTATCTACAGTTGGTTGTAACATCACAACTGACAGTTTCAACACTGCTTAGTAGGCCATAATTTTAATAATTTGATTCTGATTCTGATTCTAATTTAAAGATCCTGTTGCTGTGGGGAGAGTTATTTTTCTTTTGAAAAGAGAAGACTAATAAAAAGATATATATTTCACTATGTGAAATTTATTATGCATTAACATATCAAAATTAGCATGTGCACATGGATCTTCACTGTTTAGGATAAACAGAAAAGACTGTCCTCAACTTGTCGGTATACAATATTTGTATGAAAAGGTACTACTATCTAATTGGTCAAAAACTGTTGGGGAGAAGCCGTGGTTTAGACTTAACTCTCTCGTTATTAGTCCCTCAGTCTGTCCTCCAATCGTCCTCTCTGCTCCAATGGTTGTGGACTGTGCCCTTAAAAGGGGAGGAATACCTATTCTGTCTTAATTTCTACATAGACACTTACTTCTTCCTTTGTTTCCAACTAACTGCTACATTTTAGGCATTGCTTTCCGGTTCCAATAAAACTGCTCTGCCTGTGTATGTGTGTAATGGTTCTACCTTTGAAGTTTTCTCCTCTTCCTGGCTTCAGATCTAATCTCTGTTTTCTAACCATAGCGACCCTATTTCCCTGGTCTCATCTGCCAGGTGGTGATAATAAAGTAACTGTGGACCCTCTTTGCCAAAACTGTAAACCTAATGAGATTCAGTGTTTTAGTGAACCAGTCCCTTTGATGTTAAACAGTGCTCCAGTTGGCTAACACTATAAATATTGACCAGTGATTCAGTGAACACATAGGGTGATATGTAACTACATAAACATAACTGTAAGATTAAAGTATATAGACTTATGTGTATTATATAATAAAAAAACCTTAACTAATTCTATTCATATCTATGTAAAAATAAAAATCACCCTAACATTGCTAACTCACTCTTTGGATTTCTTAGATGTTCTGAATTCACGGGTCATTTAACACACACCTTTGTTTATGCATTTCAGATGTCCAAATCATCTCTGATTCCATCATAGTCTTCCTTGTCAAATGAAGCAAAAATAACTAGCAAGGTAGTCCTCTACCATAACTAGAATCAGATATTGAGAAGAGATGCCTGTGTAAAGAAAGAGGCAGAATCAGTTATTGACCCATACGAATCACTTTTCCGACATCTTAACTCCCACCTTGAATGCAATACCACACCCACTGAATCTGGTCACATTAGCACTCAACCCTGGTTCCTGAAACACTTTAGACAGGTACTCTCTCTTTCTGATATTTTCTCAGGCCAATCATTCAGAATCAGCCTCTCTACATAAATATATATAAAAATATATACAGGTGCTGGTCATATAATTAGAATATCATCAAAAAGTTGATTTATTTCACTAAAATCCCAGATCACTTAATCAAGACCATAGACCGCTGGACATCTCAAGCCTATCTTCAACACATCAGATCCAAACCTCAGCCCATCCAGTCTGTCCTTTTTCAATAATAGGTTTTGGGGCTCTGTCAGTGCCCAAGAGCAGCGCAGACCTCCTTAGCCTTCTCCAAAACCACAAAGTACATTAGTGTCAGGGACCAAGCAGTAAGGCAAAAGACACAGCTTTTAAAGTTCAAAACAATGGGCTTTTTATTAACCCAAAAGTAAGGATAAATACAAACAACATCAATATCAACTAATCTGAGCCC